CAATTCACAACCAGAAGACTGGAGTACTGGCTGTACCGTACCGCCAAACCAAATGTTGTGTATAATCAAGAAATTGTTTCTTTTTACTGCCAGAGGCCAGAGTGGTCCTGACTGAACTGCTACAAGTGTCATTTTTAATAATAGCTTAAAATAAATAAATAAATAAATATTCACTCCATTTTATGCTGTGGCTGCATTACAACCTCGGGGTGTACATTAATTTTCAATAATTAATTGGCCCAGCATTTATTATTAATTTCAATAATATTTCAACTAATAAATTGTCTTTTATTGAAAAGACCATGATTTAATAACACTTCATTTCTGTCAGGACCACTATTGTCAAAGATGACTGACAATTAGCATTCAGTTTGGATTGGCGGTATGGTTCTCTTCTGGGCAAGAGCTCCCTCTGCATTCCATGCAGCCTAGCATGGATGAGAGCAGGGAGAGCAGCAATAACCCCCCCCCCAGGGTAAACAGAACAGAACCAACATGAATGTATTGCAGATATCATTAAAGTTCAAAAATACATTTAGAATGAGTCTGATTCAAAGGAGAATCAGAAGGCTGAATCCTGACTGACAGAGGTGGAGTTGGGGACGGAGGAGGGTAATTAGCTATTGAGCAATGCGAAAACAGCTGATAATACTGAGGGACCTTATATATGAATGCTTAGATAGGTGTCGTATTCCTATAGGTAGATGGGGATAAGCTGAGAGTCAGCTGATGCGAGCTTGACTAACGTGACCTGCCAGAACTAACGCTTGATTTCCCAGAATGTGCTAATTTACAAGCTGAACATGAAGCCTTTTTAAAAACCTTAAACACATGACCTTAGAGATTTGAATAATAATTCAGACAGTACCTCTTCCTGCCATTCCAATTCAACATCCTGTGGAGCGTGTGGCCAATTCAATTCAAAATCCAGCTCATGAATGAAAACAGAGCCAATTCTTAGATTCTGTATCTTGCCAAGACCTGCCACATTCTGGTGAGTCTGATTGGAAAATGGCTGTGTGCGTGCCAGAATAAATTAGCTCTGGAGGTAACTATAAGATCTAAAGTAAACTGCCCTGCCCGCTTCCCTCCCATCGCAACCACACTGTGTATCTAAGTCAGACCTATGCAGCTCTTTGCTCCGCTAAACAGTGTTTTATTTAATTTGTGCATAAAGTGACAAGGGAGGCATTATATTTTTTCCCCTCTAACGCTGCAGGATTTCCCTCAACGGACATGGAGCTATGGTTTTACATATTGCTCTTGCCCAGCACTTTGATTTGTGTTTGGAGGCCTGTCGGAGGATATTTAGACCTGCTTAGCTTTAATACATCACAATGAAAGGGTCTTTTCCAGGGATTGGAGAAGGAGAGAGAGTGAAAAGGAGAGATTTATGCCTGAACCCCACACGTTCAGGCTCCTGATTAGGGCTACAGCTAATGTAACAGCTTGGACACAAGCACATTGCTTATGGAATCAATATCTCATACTTCTATGAAATTGAGTTTCAAGAGAGAGAAAGTGTGTGTGTGTGTGTGTGTGTGTG